GTACTACTGAAAGCACAAGATCTATACTCGAATCGAGGAGAGCTACGAAAAATATAGAAAGCCTATGGGTTGAGGATTCTTGGGAATGTTTTGATTATTTGCATGTTTTCTTTCAGAATGGTGATGAGCATGTGTAGAAGAGGTTTGGGTTCTGGTTCAGACTCAGGTGCAGGTACTTAGCCGATTGATGAACGGAAGTGAGAATTTATCTCGTTAGAGATCACCAACGGTATTTGGAGCGGACTCTTGTAACCTTCGGTACGGTAAAGGAGGGGATTATCGAGATTTTGGACAAGCGTCTGGGCGTGTTCTTTACTAATATTATGGCTATTGTGGGATCACACACTCTTTCCTTCCATGAGCATCATGCTTGTGGAGCTCCCAAGTTCTTTGGGGAGAAGGACCGCATTGCTAGTAGGAGATGGTTAGCGGATATGGAGAACGCTTTTTGGACAAGTTTCTACCAAGAGGGGTTGAAGTTCAGATTTTCTTCCTGTCTTCTGAAAGATAGGGCTCAAGATTTATGGGAGGAGGTCGACTTCGCTTTGGGAGGTGAAGCCCTGGAGATGGTGACTTGGGATAAGTTTGTGACCCAGTTTAGGGCAGATTTTGCACCAACTATTGAGGTGCATCAATTGGAGAGGGAGTTTCAGGACCTTCGTCAGACTACTAAGACTGTGGTAAAGATCACTAATGAGGGGGTGAATAAGGTAAGGTATCATGATATGTTGAGGGATGAAATCAGGGAGGTTGTGAGTATGTCAGGGTTCAAAACCCTGAATGATATGATTGCTAGAGCCCGAGAATGGGAGATTGATTTGTATCATATGAGGAAAGGGAAGTCAGAGCATGTGCCAACAAATGGGGGTGCTGCAAAGAGAGCAAAGAGTTCAGACCAGTGGTTGAGGGGCCAGCAGGCCCAGGGTCAGTGTAGCACATGCGGGAAGCAACACGATGGGGTTTGTCAATCTAAGGGTATGGGTTGCTACATGTGTGGTAGGTTTGGTCATGTCAACAGAGATTGTCCCTAAGGGACAAGCTCATTATCTATTAACTACGACCAAGTGTGCCACAAGAAGATCGACTGTCCGGAGTTGATGAGAGGATCAGTAAGGGCACATGCTCTAACCACTTTGAAGATTACTAATGGTTGCGAGGGAAGAGTGGAGGTTCCTGTGGTGAGGAGTTGAGCATTGTAGTCACAGGTTGAGGGGACCCGAGTTCCATCAGTTGATGTCGTAGGTGTGTACTGTATTCTTTTCCTTCATGCCCTTATTAATTATTTTAATGATTGTGTGTTTATGTATGAGATGTTATGTGGGGTGTATCTAAGTCTCCACGTAGGATTATAGTTTTTCTTCATGATGCGATTCTGCATGCCGAGAGTCGTGTTTAGGGGATGTTTGGGTGAGCCATAGTTGGATTGAGATGTGGGATGCATTGACTATCGTCGGAACAAGTATGAAGTGAGAAAAGATCAGTAGACGATTCAATCATTAGTGGTTTTAGCAAGGATTCAAGAAAATAGTGAGGTGGGCATGTTGGGTTCGAATGTAGGGTTTGTAGGGGTTCTTTGTAGTTCCAAAGCAATAAGGAATGGATCAGATCATGGGTGTGAGAGAGATAATTATCAAGTTCATGCATTCGTATTATGGTCAGTTGCAGGTTCGTAGGGGATTTGCCCTAAGTGCAAGTAGGTCGCGGAATCAGTTGGGTACCCACTTTGATAATTGTGATTTTGTTCTCCGTCATCTGATAAGTCGTCGAGGAATTGTAGGAGACTCAGTGGAAAGTGCTTGGTATTATTGAGCTCATTGAGATTTTGGGAAGTATTCATTTAGTTTTGGAATGCATGTGATTGTTAGGATTGGCGAGTAATGAAATGCTAGTTCTTGTAAGTTCAGGTTGTTGACAATGTGAACTGTAAGGATGAGAAATGGATTGGAAACCCATAAAACCTTTTGAATTGGAAGAGAAGAGTCGAAACCAAGTGAGGGAGAATCGTTTGGTCTAAGGGATTGAACAATAATAAATGTCTGGGTTTCATTGCACATCAGTAGTGATGAATGGTGGGTATGTGGATGGATCATCCGTGTAATTTACTCTTGATTCTATCTGGGTTATTGTCGCCAGGTTGACCAAGAGTTCCCATTTCACCCCAATTATGGATAGTTCATCTGTTGATAAGTTAGCCGAGATCCATATTAAGGAGGTGGTTGCACGACATGGGGTTCTTGTTTCTGTTATATCAGATCGTGATGTATGTTTTACTTCCAAGTTAGGGATTTTGTGCTTCTGAAGGTGTCACCATGGAAGGGTGTCATTCAGTTAGGGAAGCAGGGCAAGTTGGGGCCCAGATACATCAGTCCTTTTAGGATTATTGTTGGGTGGGCAAGGTTGTTTATCGATTGGAGCTACCTACAAAGCTTAGCTAGATCCACAATACATTTCACGTCTCTCAGTTGCAGAAATGTTTAGCCGATGATCCTGGAGTGGTCCCATTGGATGACATTCAGGTTGATGAATACATGAACTATGTTGGGATACCGGTTGTGATTCTTGACAGGAAAGTGAAGGCACTACACAAAAAGGTGGTGCGTTTGGTGATGGTGCAGTGGCAACACCATAATGGATCCCAATGGACTTGGTAACCCAAGGAGGAGATGCAAGAGCATTACCCTGAGTTATTTACAACAATGGATTTCGAGGACGAAGCCTGATCCAAGTGGGGGAGATTTGTAACACCAGGTTTCTCAGGAAGAAGAAGAAGTCTCTAGTGCAAGGATCCATCTAGAAACTCTGCTCTACCTTTGAGATCATTTTCTGGAAATTTTTATGACTTCAAAACGTAAGCTTTATTGTTTATTTCCTATAAATCTAGTAATGTTGGCATATTTTGTTCCATAATTGAAGTTTGGATAAGTGGGTGAGATAAATTTAGCAACTTTATGATTCATCAAGGTCCTTTGAGTGTTATATCTTATGGATATAGGAGTTGTAGGTGTTATATGAGATTTAGGTCATTTCTCCCTTTTTGACCTAGTTTGAATGGAGGACATGCATGGGTCATGCATATCTATAAAGATTGTATTTTTATGAACCTTTAGGGTTCCAAATATGGGTAGGTGCTCCATATCTAAAATGTTATGATGTTTTGAGTTCATTTATGGGATTGTGACCCTATTTCTCCTATTTTTGACCTTGATGAATGGATGACATGCATGTCCACAAAGCAAGGACTTTTATGGTGCTTTGGAGTGTAAGGAAGCTTTTATGGAAATCATGATTTGGGAACTTAATGGATTAAGGGCTTAATCCATCTTTTTTTTTTGTGTAGTTGCCACAACGTGGTGACATGCTTGCCATAACGTGGTGGCTGGAAAAGTCATAATTGTTTTGTCGTGGAGCAGCCATGACACGGCCAGAAGTTAGCCACGACGTGGTGACCTTTCGAGTTGATTTTGACCATTGACTTTGATCTGGTTGACTTTTGGTAAAATTGGTAGTTTGGTTAGTAGACTAATGGGTTGGCTTTATATGGTTCTTTAGGTGGTGTGTAGCACCAACCTTTCGACTACACGAGTTATAGTCTGTTCGACTTCGAGTGTGAGGTGAGTCTTCTCACTATACTATATAGGATGTTAGTCTGTCTTTTGTGACTCTTGCATGTATGTTGGGTGAGACCCGTTATATATGTGGGTGGGGCTCGTTATATGAATTGGGCGGGATCCGTTTTTCCGTTTCGATAGGGCGCATTAGGTATGCTGGGCGAGGCCTGTTATGCATATTGGGTGGGGCATGTGATGGTTATGTGGTATTTTGAGAAACCCATTACGTTTTGTGCTACAGTTTTATGTTTTAACGTTTTAGGTACTTCTGGTTCCAAATGGAATGGTCCGACTTGATCGCACTGCATCTTTTGGAGTCCTATTTCCGCATTATATATTTATGATTTTACTTTGATGTTGGAGAACACATTACACTATGATTGTATTTTGAACAAGTGTTTGAATAGTTTTGGTGATTGAAAAACGAAGTTTTTACTCAATATTTTAGGATGCTACATGTGGTTTAGAAGCTAAATTTGTACAAGTAAATGAAGACCCTACAAGGTCGATCCAGGAGATGCTTAGTGAGTTTGAAGCACTAAATCGATCTTATAGTGACCTTTATTTAATTGTGGTACAAATCAAGTTTCTAAATCTCAATAAGATATCCTGAAATGGTGACTATGTCCTTTTTATTGACTTGTAAGTGAGTGTGCACCATTGGATTGTCATTTATTTACATGTTGTACAAATCGAACTTTTAAACCACAATAATATCTACTAAATCGGCCAGTTGCATGACATTGCAACAAAATTAAAAAGGAAATAACATAATTAAAAAAATAATTTGGATGTCAAAATCAAAATTTTATGGAAATATAATAACTTTATTATAATTTAAAACTTAGTGTCAAAATCGAAATGTTGGTAAATTTAATGACTTTATTGTAATTCGAAAAAAATAATCACAAGAATAACATATCATTTGGTTGATATTACAACAAAATTGTAAATATAATGTCAGACAAAAAAAATATTAATCTAACCTAATAAATAAAAATCAATTTGGCCAAATGTCATGTTCACATTAATTTTACCATATGTTATTTTTTAAAAGTTTTTGATTTTTTTTTCACTTGTCATTTTCTTGTAATTTTTATTTTCTTAAATCTAAAATCCATATTTTTAATGAGATTTATATATGTAAACTAGATCATTCTATTAAATTTCATAATAAACGCTTTACAATCTTTCAAATATCTTACATTATATATTAAATAGCTTACTTTATTTATTATATTCTTTATATTTATATAATTTATTATTTTAAAAAAATATGTAATGTTAATAATTTTATATTAATTTTTTTTTCAAAACATATAATACACGAGTTTCATACCTAATAAATTAATATAAAATCAAAATTTTAGAGTAATATAGTATCTAATTTCCCTAAAATAAAAAAATATTGATAGCGTTATCTTAAACCAAATTCGTATTAGATATAGAATTGAATCGGACATAATCTAAACATATTTTGATGTAAAAGAAAAAAAGGATTCGGTGCTAGGAGTGCAATAATTTTAACTTCATTAAAGTGAAGCCAGGTTTTGTCAATTCAATGGGACTCTTTCGAGATCCACCAACTCAATAAAGGGGTTTGCCATTCGCAGGTCGGTTTTCTTCAACACCACCTCCCACCGGCGTTTCTCACCACCGCTGTCTACCTAATCTAACGTCGTTTCTTCAAGACCTACCATCGGCAGCTACCACCTTAAAAAACCCATCAACGGCGCTTCTTACAGAACCAACAAACCCATCACCGGCGACGATCCAACCCTAATCCCTCCTTACCGGCGACTTCTCTCCGGCAACTTCAGCAGCAAACTTTGATAAGAACTGGGTCTGTTTTTTTTGTAGATTTTAGGTTGTTCGCTGTTCATCTCCACCATTTTGGTCTAGGAAATGTCGGTCGATTCGAATATTTAACCCTGTACAACACAAATCAGCGCGGTTATCTCATCTATCTCTCTCTCTTTCATTACTTGTTCATCAACTAACCCCAAATCCTTCTCAATAAAAAAATCAAAATCGAAGTTTCTTCAATTGACTGAAAATGGATACTGAGAGAAGTAGTGAGCCAAAACAGGGTTCTCCTTCCTTCTTCAAGGTCGTGCGTTACCCTTCTTCCCCACATCTGGTACTCCTCTATCCTTCTCGAGTATAAGTTTATGAATCTGTATATGATATCTGTATTCATGGAAAAAACCGAAATTTGTTTGCAGTCATTGCCAATTGCTTTTGTTAGGAGGTATTTACATAAGATCCCTAAAAACACAATACTCAAGACTGCAACAGGGGAGCATTCATGGAGGTTGAAGATTAAACAGATCGGTGAAGATTACTGTTTTGCCCATGGATGGGAGAAGCTGGCCCAGGATGTCCAGTTGGCTGCCAGGGACATTCTTGTCTTCTGGCTAGTTGATTCCTTCACCTTCCAGGTTTCGTTCTTCGATGAACATGGATGTGAAAAAGATCTGCCATTAACGCACACCAGTTTGGTTTCTCTCTCTTGCTTTACATAAATAAAAGAACATTAAATTGGATTTTGACAGATGGATCGAGATTTTCAGGTGATGATGATGAAGATGATGGCCAACATCATGATGATGATGATGATGTTGCGCCATATGAGGATCTTTACTTTCAAAAGGTCATCTGTGAGAGAAACCACAGATATTATATGGTAAAATCTTGTATCTCCAAATGACAAAACAATGTTAATTGACTTTTTTCACTTGCATAGAAATATCCTTAAAAGAACACCATAATCGGCAAAAGGGTAGCTTTGTATTTTCTCAAAAATTATATTATTTTCGGTTGATTTGATAGTAAGAAAACTTGCATTCGTTTTGAAAGAGAAAGCTTAATATTAAGTAAATAAATTAATATTTTTTTTTGAACGGCCTTAATATATATTAAAATTTATACTATGGGCCTATGGGTTATGTAGAAAAATAGTAGTTTAAATTTATATATAGATGGATGATACTAATTAATTAATCATAATAAAATTATAATCTTGAATTAATTAAAAGGATTGATTGATTCGTTTTTTGAAGTTTGTTAATGTTAATAGGAAGTGATTATTTATTTATTAAAGTTTATAAATTGTCGAAGAAATAATGAATGATTTTATTAAAATTTAAAAGCCTGTAAATAATTGGTAATTAATTTACTTTCTTGATTTTTTTAGTTTTAAAAAAGGTAATTGGTTATTCTTCAAACTTGTATGAGTCGTTGTGAACGTTATGATTTATCCTTGTAGTTCGTAAATTATTTTCTATAAATAATACATATTATTCCTTTAATTTTTCAAAAGTATATATATCCACAAAAATATAAATATATGATCGTATAATAATTTAATATATTAAATAACTTAAAAAATATGATCGTATAATAATTTAATATATTAAATAACTTAAAAAAAATAACACTATGAGTTATACCACATGTCTCGAAAGTTGTACCTTACATCTCGGGAAAAGGCCTAGGTTTCTTGAATCACGTTTTATTGTTGGGTAATTAATTGATTTTTAATTTAAAATTTGTAGGGGTTGCCGAAGAAATTTGTGGATTCTGCGGGGTTGGAAAATAAATCGAGCATAAAGATGAAGGATAAAGAAGGAAAAGAATGGAAAATTGGGTTAAAAATTGAAATATACTCGAATATAAGAGTCTATTTGGCATCGGGGTGGCCGCATTTCCGACAATATCACGATCTGTGCAACGGCGATATGTGTTTATTTAAGTACATCAAGAAAGAAAACGTCTTGATTCTAGTGGAAATGATCAAGAGTAAAAGACCAACAAAACGACAATCTTCCGATGTCAAGGGGTTGAACAGGAAGGTCGGAAGACCGCCGGTTGAGAAACTAGATGGCGGCGGTGGAGGTGGTGGTGGTGGTGTGAAGGTTAAAGTTGAATATGAATCAGGTCCGGAGGCGGAGGTGGTGAAGAGAAAGAGGGGAAGGTCGCCGGTTGAGAGACAGTTAGGTGGTGGTGTGGAGGTTAAGATTGAAGATGGGTTGTGGCCGGAGGTGGGAGTTGTGAAGAAAAAGAGGGGGGCACCACCACTTGGAGAACCTTGTGGTGGTGGTGGTGGCGGCGGTGGAGTGAAGGTTAAGATTGAAGATGAATCATGTCCGGCGGAGTTGGAAGTGGTTATGAGAAACAAGGGAGGGCCGATGCCTGTTAAAGCTCGCGTTGGTGGTGAGGTGAAAGCTCGTGCTGGTGGTGGTGATGTGAAACCTGAGCAAGAGATGGAGAGTTTGTTTAGATGCAAGCAAGTGATTTACTTTTAACCTCAAGCTGGGTTGGTGGCGACGGAGACTGTGATGGTGATGGTGATGGTGGTGGTGGTGGTGGTGGTGGTGGTTGGGGTGTTTGGGATCACTTGTTTGAATTATTATGGTTTGACTGACATCCTTGTTATATAACGAGTGTAAGTGTTTGGATATGAAGTATAAAACACCTATGAATATTAATTGGTTTAAATTTTTTATTAAAATTTAAAGATAAATATATATTTACTTTTTTTAACTGAAACTCACATAAACATAATTTATTTTATACATTGGCTGCCTATTTTTTCGCTTGTTATAGATGCAAGATCCTTTAATTTAATTATACAAAGTGACATTGTTATACGATAAGTGACTTCTAAAAATGTTATGGATCATTGCTTGGGGGGTGCACATTCATACACGCTCGTGGGTCTGTTTTTCTTTCAACTCAACGGACATTTTTTTTTGATGAAAATCCTTGCTAATCCATCTTATTAGCCTGAAAAATGAGGCAAAGAAATCCTTGCTAATCCATCTTATTAGCATGAAAAATGAGGCAAAGAATGTTCTGCAGAGAGGCCAGCAATCTGTCTCTAAGGCTTTGAGGTATAGTTACGAGTGTTTACGAGTGAAAAGGAGGCCACATAGAATTTTTTATCATTCCATGTGGAAATGGTGTTCACTGGTGGGTTGGTGGTGAAAAGACAAAGAAGAGAGAGAAAGAGAGCGACCGATATTGCTGTTTGCTTCTTATTGGTTGTCTTCATTCGTCTTCATAGAGACTTCACGGCCAAGCCACTGGACATAGGGTGGTGTTCACACATCCCTTGGGCTGCCACATAGGTTTTCATGTGTGGTTTGAGGCTCCACACTGGATAACCTAACTTGATCCGTCACTAATATGTTGGAATTAGGTGAGTCCCGTTATAGTTCCGTCACTAATATGTTACACTTTTTTTTTTATCCTAGTCACTAATTAAAGGGAAACAACTCGTCCCCTAAACACGACTCTCGGTATGCAAAATGACATACGAAGATTTTCAAAATAAAATATCCAAACCATCATGAGAAGAATTCTAATTTCTAGGTGGAGACTTACATAAACCACACATAGCGTCTCACACACAAACACATAATCATAAACACGATTAATAAGAGCATGAAGGAAGGAATACAACTCATACCTGCAGTGTCAACTGGTGGAACTCGAATCTCTTCGATTTGTGACTGCAACGCTCAATTCCTCTCCACAGGAACCTCCACTCTGCCCTCGCGACCATCTGAAACCCTCAGAGTGGCTGGAGCAGGTGCCCTCACTGCTCCCATCATCAACTCCGAACAGTCGGCCTTCTTGTGGCCCACTTGGTTGCAGTGAAAACACATCAGAACCGATCCTCGAGGGCAATCCCTGCTGAAATGACTCATCGGTCCGCAACTGAAACATCCCCTCCATGTCTCCTGATAGACTCCCGCACTTGGCACAACGGAAACGGTCCTCCTGGCCTCCCAAACGCGAATCCTGAGTCATGGGCCTCTTCTCCTGGCCTACTGCGATCTGAATCTGCTTTGCATTCCTCTTCCCAATGTGCTCCAAACCAATCTCCCGCTCTTGGGCTTTAGCAAACATATCATGATACCTCTCCTTCTTCATTCATTTTCCCGTTGTATTCTACAGAGCCAATAAAGTGCTTTCCCGAAATAAGGGAGTTCACGCTCTCAACTGCCATGCCGCAATCTCGGCCCGAAAGGCCCCGAGTCGCTCATCTAACAATTCCATAATCCTAGTGCAATACGCGCCCAGATGCTCGTCCAAAATCTACATGATCCCATCCTTGATCATACCAAAAATCACAGGAGCCTGCTCCAAAATACCGCGGGTGATCTCGGACGAGATGAACTCCCCCGTCCACTCATCTATCCGCTCGGTACCAGCCCTTGAGCCTGAACCAAAACTTGAACCTCCTCCACGTGTGCTCATTACGATTATGAAAAACAACCTCACAATGATCAAAACATGCTCAAAGAATCCTCATCCCAGAGGCTTACTAGATTCTTTGTGAGTCTCCTCAAATCGAGTATGGATCCTGTGCTTTTAGTAGTACGGGCCCAATACTACCTTCCACACCTATCCATAATTTCCTCAAGAATCATCCCAAATCCTCCAAGTCACATTCTCAACTGATACTCCAAATACCTGCTAAACAACACAATTAAGCCACTAAAACACTTCTTAGGCTCTACTAGGTTCCTGACCTCACCCTATCATCAATGGCTCAAGAGTTCCCATTAACGTCAGCTAACTACTTCATTAATACAATCACTTGCAACAATGCTTAGATAATCCTTCGAGTAAAGACTCAACCCTACAATGGTTAGACTCAAGTGAGAGCTAAGCAATAGGGCAAACTTTGTTGAAATATCCCCCTCTGACACGTATCACAATATTGTCCGCTTTGGGCTTCCGGCACGAAAACTTCCCACGGGATCACTGCTCTCGCCCGAGCATCCTTAACTGCAGAGTTCTTATGAGATCTGCTGCCCCCATGACTTTAAAACACATTGTGACAAGGAATCTATCCACACCCCTTTATAAGAAAGTGCTTCGTTCTCATTCCAAGCCGATGTGGGAGCAGGTGAAACCCACCTTCACCCCCCATTATAAGGTTCGATGTCCTTGTCGAACACATTGACCCGTGCCATAGCTTTGATACCATTTGTAACATCCCCCTCTGGCACGTATCACAATATTGTCCGCTTTGGGTTCCGACACGAAAACTTCCCAAAGGGTCACCCATCCCTGAATTGCTCTCGCCCGGGAAAATTTAACTGCCGAATTCTGATGGGATCCGGTGCATTAGTGCTGGTATGATCACACCAAAAAATTACGACCCAAAAATTTCATTGTAACATCCCAAAAGTTTCGACCCAAAAATTTCCTTTTTAAGTTTATCAAATCATAATACGAACATCATTGTTTTCAAAACCACGACAACAAATACTTTTAGTTGTACAATCAAGACAATACATAGAAAGTCATCATCAGGGTATAAATCCTAAGATCTTAAATGCGGAAAATCAAAGTGTGATGCGATGTGATCAAGCCGACCCTTTTCCCTATGAGCTGGAGGTACCTGAAACACAAAACTGAACCGGTACGCATAAAGCTTAGTGAGCTTCCCCCACCATACCACATACAACATAACATATTGTCGGGCATATCCGGGTGCCCGACCTACCCTGCTGAGCATATCTGGGTGCGCAACCTACCCTACAAGGCATATATGGGTGCCCGACCTACCCTTATCAGGCATATCTGGGTGCATGACCTACCCTTCGGTCTTATTCCAACCGATTATGGGGTCTATCTCACCTCAACCCACAACCATATAAAAATCATGCATATCTTACATAAACATCAACAATACATATCATCTTAATAATTATCACAAAGACAATCATTAAGCTATATCAATACTAGTGGGCCGACCTTGGTGCCTTCGACCCACATATTCTATGAAGGGAGACTCACCTCAACTATGAATGCCGAATCGTACTCCGCAGATGACTCAGGGCTCCTCTTCCAAAAGCACAACAACTTCCTAATTAGTTATTGGATCCAAATATAACTCCATAGGCCCACTTCTAACACATAAGGCAAAAGTTCCTAATCTTTGACCCAATTGGGCCTCTTCTTCCCAAGGCCCAACTTCCATAATAAAATGTCCAAGCCCAACTGATTAGGCTTTAAGGCGAGTAAGGCCCAATACAATATTCCCAATTCTAGGCCATAGGGTTCTAGTCCATATATGGGTTTGAGGCCCATTAAATCTAAGCCTAACGCTCACACCCCATAAAGATCCCTTGGCCCACTGTACGAGTACGTGCGGCGTACACAACATGTACACCTAGTGTACGTTGTTCTTGACCAGAAGTGGGAAACTGACTCGATACGTGTAGCGTACCAGGGGTACACCCAACATTCCTGCCAGCCACCCAAGAATCCTTTTTTTGACTTAGCCCATTAAGTCTTAACGTTGAGAACATAGATCTAGGCTCCTAACAGCATCCTAAACCATAAAGTTATGAACTTTATGGTTTTGCAAGCATGGATGGGGATTAAGACATACATTAAGTCCATAAGCTCACTTAGTGGCCAACTAGCACTTGCATGGTTGGGGCTAAACCATCAAGATCTAATTTGTATGGTTCTAAACACCTCCAAGAGCCAAAAGGACAACTCATTTGGACATAATCTTCTAAAACTCAAAGGACCTCAAGTATGGAACCAAAATGTGACATAAAACACCCCAAAACTAGATCTAAGCATGCAATGATAAAGTTTAAAACTTTACACCTCAAATGGGTCGAAAATGATGCCAAACTTCTAGATCTACAAGTTCTCTTCAAGTCCTTGATTCTTCTTCAAAACTACCAAAATAACACCAAAGTGATCAAAGTGAGCTCATGATACATGTAAGGGGGTTAGGGTTCGATTTGGACACTATGGGGACAATGGAGGCTGAGAGGATAAGGGTTTGGAGGGATATAAGATGCTTAAATAGGGTGAAAACCCTAAAATTTAGGGTTTGCATATGACCAATCTACACCCAGAGTACACATGGGGACTTCCCGCTTCGCGCCTCACTTGCGCACGCCTTACATGCACCTTGTACACCCAGCATATGCCCCAACCCACCATATTCAAATATAAGCATCAATATAACTTGAACAAGGAGCAACATAATTATCTGATAATCCCAGGCATTACATATCTCTTCCACTTGAATTAGACTTCGTCCTCGAAGTCTTCTGCTGTTGGAAATAGCTCCGGGTAGTGTTTCCTCATCTCATCCTCTGACTCCCACATCCATTTCGAGCCCTTACTGTGTCGCCATTGTACTTTCACCAACTCTACCCTCTTGTTCCTCAGATCTTTTGTCTTCCTGTCGAGAATGGCTACTGGCCTCTTGATGTAGTTCAGACAGTCATCCACTTGAATGTCCTCCAAAGGAACCATAGTGGAGTCATCGGTTATGCTCTTCTGCAGCTGCGAAACATGAAAATTGTTGTGGAT